ATATGTCAAACTTCATGTTAACACGTTGATTTTAACATGTTAACCTATTAACGTCCAATGTTGTACATGTTTTCTAATGCCTGTTACCATGACCCCTATTAACTAGATCAAATGTTAAGCCAGATGATAATGCAACATACAGGGATGAGCGGCATGCATCCAGGTACGTATGTAACCCCTGACTTCCTCATCCCTTGAACAGCAATTTGAATGCCTCTCTTCGTCTCATCAAAAATAAATTTACCCCACGCAATGGTCTTCACTCTCTCGATACTATTTACATATTGAAACAATTGTCTTGGGATGCCTTGAGAGCTATTGGGGCACCAAATCGTTGCACATTGGTACAATATCTGAAGCAACACAAATTCCTCAATGTCCTTATTATTAGAGGACTCAACAAGTGTTTCCAGCAACTCCTCGACATATCTCCTCATGCTACCAGCTTCTGGTGTAGCCTTGGCCTTTAGCATTTCTTTCTTACCTTCAAAGTATTGCCTCCAAAGTCGGTTGTGAGGGTCTCTATTCCCGTAGATCAGCTCCCCATCAATGGGAAAGCCTGTGTGAGTATGCACCCACTCTTCATCAAATTTCACTGAAAATATAGAACCGCTCTTGGGGTTGGGAAAAGAGAACTCATCAGTTTCGCCAGTATAATGGCTGAGCACATACTCTAGTGCCCGTCGATCGCGTGCTGGGGGACCAAAGAACACATAGTGCTCAAAGTTACAGCCCTTGTAGGCATCCCAATGCCACTTCTTCAGTTTTGGTTGCAGTTTTTGCATGAAGGAACAATACGTTCCAAGACAGGCACTGAGCCTAATATCACCTAAAGCAGCAACTATCCTGGATGAACAACAATTTACTCTTAACAAGTCGTTCAACTTTAAATTACGTAGCAATCAACAGTAAAGGCATTAACATAGTCAAAATCACGTTTTATTAACATGATTAGCTAATAGTTGACTCTTAAGAGTAAACGTTAACAACAAACACAGATTATTGACATGCATTGCTACTAGCTATCAACAATTGAGAATTGTTTACATGCATTTCTTACAACCCCACAACACTTCATATTGTTCAGATCTTCCTCCAAAATTAAGAAACTGCTTATACACTACAATAACCAGTCTCTCACCACCATTTCCTTCAAAATGGACCCCATAAACCACAATTAAAATCAACATCACTCATTTAAAATAATTAAATTCAAAAACCCTCAATTGATTGGGAACTTACTTCTTCTTTGAGATGGACACATCCTCCCACGAGCGTCTCCTCTTGCGCTCTCGATTTTCCTAACTTTTTATGCTCAATAGGGTTTTCATCGCCTCGTTACTCTCCTCATCATCAGAGGATGGCGGAACAGAATCGCTGGCGTGAGATATCAAGGCGGAGGTGGAGGGGGATAAGTTTGGTAGTTCCTCCTGCGCAAGTCGTGCCGACCGACGCCGGTGACGAACGTTCGCTTCCGTTTGAATCTGGTCTACTTCACCCTTGCGTCGTTTAGGGTTCTTAGCCATTTCTCTTATAATTTTCTTCGGCATTTTCCTTGTGGATTTCTTCGGCATTTTCTCTTATAATTCTCGTCTAGGGTTTTCAAATTGGGTTCGCAAGGTGAAGGAGGTTCGAGTTTTGGGGATATTTGTGGGTCTGCAGAGAAAAGAGTGCGAGCGAGAGAAAAAGGGAGGGCAGATTTGGAGACGAACAGTTACAAGGGCAATTTCGTCTTTACAGACGAACTGTGCTCTCAGAGTTGTCTGGGAAATGAAAAAGGGGCTGAAACATTATTGAGTTGGGTACTGGGGGCTTGATCACACCAAAAAAAATACAGGGGGCCTAGTCACAACCGGATCTTTTTTGGGGGGCCTTAAAACATTTTTCCCAACTTAAAAACCAACCAAACACAAGAAAAATGAGAAATATCAATTCAACAAAAATTTTTCCTTTTTTTTTCCATGCGAACCAAACACAAGAAAAGTAAATACATTGGTTTCCTACCATTTTTTATGTGCGAACCAAACTGAAACAATCTATTTCTTGAAAAAGTTTGAAAAACTCAAAACTTGCATTTCTTTACATGAAATTACATTTCCATATATCTAGGAAACGAACCAAACAGCCCCTAAGTAGAAAAGTCTATAAAATTTGTCTGGAAAAACTATTTCTTGTACTTCCTTAAATGCTGACATGACACCTATGTACATCCATACAATTATAAAATCTTTTTTCACCTATCAAGGACTTGGAGTTGGGAAGTAGCTAAAACATGATTTAGTTTAGGAATAAATTAGATTTTGTGTTGTCGTGGATATTCTTCGATTCTATTTAAAATCTTGAAAGATACCTTTTCTATCTTCCCAAAAATATTTATAATGAATATTTCCAGAAACTTATGAAACAAATAAAAAAAAGTGAATAATATTTCCAAAAACAAACAAAAAAGTATTACTTCCCCTACTTTCTACATCAAAAGTTTGAAAAGTTTCTTATTGGATTTACCTGTTATTTGTTACTTCCATGCATCAAGGGGCCTCAGTTTCGGATCTGGGGGGTATCACAATTAGGGGCTGTTTGGTTCCCTGTTTTTGAGGGAAAGACTCTCTTGAAAGCCTGTCAAAAGTGTCAAAATTGACACTTTTTGGCAGGCTTTCAGCCAAAATCACCTCTAAAAAAAGAAGATTTTGGCTGAAAGCCTGCCAAAAAGTGACACTTTTGACACTTTTGGTAAGCTTTCAAGAGAGCATTTCCCTCAAAAACAGGGAACCAAACAGTCCCTTAGTGTCTTTCCTATTTTTCGTTTGTGGGGAAGAACTAAATCGGTTTCCCAAAAGAGAAAAGGAAAATTGTAACTACCCTACAATGTCCAAACAAAGTCTGCACTACACTGATGTGATGATGCTGACTTGTACCATCTTAATTTTCAAATAGCTGGAAATGGAAAGATTATACAATTTTCAATTTTCTAAATAAATGTCATTCTTTTGTTCATTTCTCTTTCATTCCTATTTCCCAATCTCTACAAGGGAACATCATCATCTATAGCATATGAGATTAAAAAAACATTCAAGTCTCTTTTAGTTTGTCGTTTATCCGTATGAAAAAGATCCTTGAAGCATGAAGTATATCCGTTAATAATTTTGTTAAATAACAAATAACTTTGAATGATGGAGAGGAAAAAATCTAAATTCAAAACAAAATCACTGTAGATTCTTCCCGATATCAGGAGGAAAGAGGAATTTTGGGTTTGTAAATGATAATTATTTTGATGGGTGATATAACTCCAGCTGGGAAAAAAAGTGAACACTGAATGACAAAATTGAAGCAGGGGATAATTATGTTATGCTCGTCAGCTGCCAAGGCCGCGTTTGTTGAAAATTAAAAAGGGTGGTGGGCCCCACCGTTAGACACTGTCCCTTTACCAGTAATTAGGCAGAGTTTGAAAGTTTTGATTGCACGGTAAAATAATATTGTTTTATAAGTGCATAGTATTTTCCCAAACACTATAAATATGCCCAAAACTCTTCAGGAAAAATTCATCTCAGAAACAACTCCTCATATAGAAGGGAGAAAAAAAATAGAGAGAGTTTCTCCTTGTCAAGAGAGGTTGTAACTCCCAAGTTTTTCCTCATAGTGGATTCTTCTATCATTGCCTGTGGTTTTTACCCCAAATTTATTTAGGGGGTTTTCCACGTAAATTTGTGTGTTCATCTTTTTTATCACTTTCACTCTACTATTGTTGCGACCCTGTTCTATTGGGCCCCGGGTTTGTCCCGACAAGTGGTATCAGAGCCTGGCTTAGGTTGAGTGTATTTACTTATCGTATGCTCTGTGGATGCCACCAAAGGTGGATCATCCACATCAGAAAATAAGTTATCATTTACCCTTTAAAGATGACAGGTACTATTCACGAGTACATTATTATTTATAAATATGATACTATTCACAAGTACGGTACTATTCACGGATACGATTACTGTTCATAAATACACTTACTATTTAAGTAAAATAGTAAGAAGTTATTGTTCATGATAGAAGCAATGGCGGCAAAGTTCGAAATCGAGAAATTCAATGAGAGTAATTTCTCTCTGTGGAAGTTAAAGATAAAAGACTATCTTGAAAAAAGATAATTGCCTAGCGGCCATCGGTGCAAGGCCGGACGACATCACAGATGATAAAAAGTAAAGAACGAAAATGCGATTGTAAATCTCCATCTGGCATTAGCAGACGGGGTGCTGTCAAGATAGAGGAGAAGAAGATAACAAAGAAGATGTTGGATACTCTAACAAAGCTATATGAGGTAAAATCCCTACACAACAAAATCTTCTTAAAAAAAGACTTTACACTCTGAGGATGGCAGAATCTACATCGATGGCCGACCATATCAACACCCTAAACACATTGTTTTTCCAACTCACAATGTTGGGGCATACAATCGGTGTGAATGAACGTGCAAAACTTTTACTTCAGAGTCTACCTGACTCGTATGATCAACTCATCATCAACCTGACAAACAATATCCTTACAGACAATCTAGTCTTCGACGATATTGTAGCTGCTGTTCTGGAAGAAAAAATCAGCACAAGAACAAGGAAGACAAGCAGGCAAGTTCGCAACAAGCGGAGGCCTTAACGGTGACGAGAGGAAGATCAACGGAACGCGGCTCTAGTGGGAGTCATACCCATGGTAGATCAAAATCACGAAGTAAAAAGAATATCAAATGTTACAACCGTAGTAAAAGAGGGCACATCAAATCGGAGTGTTGGCACAATAAGAAGAGTGGTGATAAAAAGTCTTCAGATCCATCAACATCTCAAGGATGCGTTGTCAGCACATCAGACGATGGTGAAATTTTATACAATGGAGCAACCACTATTGATGAAGGCAGAAAGAGATTTGCTGATGTCTGACTTCTTGATTTAGTAGCCTCCTGGCACATGACCTCTCGGAGAGAATGGTTTTACAAATATGAACCTATCTTAGGAGGATCTGTATTCATGGGGAATGATCATGCCTTAGAGATTTCTGGTATTGTCACTATCAAAATCAAAATGTTTGATGGTACAATACGCACCATTCAAGATATGTGAAATGTGAAGGGCATGAAGAAGAATCTATTATCTTTATGACAAATAGATGAGCTCGGGTGCAAGACACATATAGCAAATGGGATCATGAAGATTGTTAGAGGGACGCTTGTTGTTATAAAAGGAGAAAAAATAGCTGCAAATCTATACATCCTTAAGGGAGAGACTCTGCAGGATGCTGATTCATGTGTGGCATCAACCAGTCGTGGAGAAGAACAAACCATGATGTGGCATCACAAAGTAGGCCACATGTCAGAACGGGGCTTGAAGATTCTCTCCGATCAGAAGCTGTTTCCTGGACTTAATTCAATAGCTCTTCCCTTCTGTGAGTATTGTGTTACAAGTAAGCAGCATCGACTAAAGTTCAACATATCGAGTTCTAGAAGCAATGCTATTCTGGAGCTAGTTCATTTTGATGTATGGCAAGCACCAATTACATTTATGTGAGGAGCAAAGTACTTTGTGTCCTTTATTGATAATTATTCCAGGAGATGTTGGGTGTATCCTATCAAGAAGAAGGCGGATGTGTTCTTAGTCTTTAAAGCCTACAAAGCATGAGTCGAGCTTGAATCTGAAAAGAATATCAAATAATTAAGGTCAGATAATGAAGGATAATACACAGACGGTGAATTACTTGCATTCTGCAAATAAGAAGGCATCAAAAGATAATTCAGTACTGCTTATACTCCTCAACAAAATGGAGTGGCGGAGCGGATGAACAGAACTCTGTTGGAAAGAACAAGAGCTATGTTGGCAACTACAAATTTGGATAAAGTCTTTTGGGCGAAAGCAGTAAAAACTGCTTGTTATATAGTGAATCGATCTCCATCAACTGCAATACAATTAAAGACGCCGATGGAGATGTGGACTGGCAAGCCAGCTGATTATTCTAACGTCCACATATTTGGAAGTCCAGTGTACGTTATGTACAATGGCCAAGAAATTACAAAACTAGATTCAAAATCCAGAAAATGCATATTCTTAGGGTATGCTGATGGAGTAAAGGGGTATCGCTTGTGGGATCCCACTGCCCATAAGGTTATCATCAGCAGAGATGTTATCTTTGTAGAGAATCAATTACAAAGTAAAGAAAAAGAAAGCAGTTCAAGGAAGGACTCAGACTGTAGTTGTTCAGGTAGAAAATGATCCAAATTCTTCTGAAGTAACACCAGAACATGATATACAAGAGCCAGTCGAGTCCGATGCTCCAGAAGTTCGAAGGTCAACTCGTGAGAGAAGACTACCAACTTGACACTCGGAGTATATTACGGAGAGTAATGTTGCATATTGTCTTCTAACAGAGGATGGAGAGCCATCAACTTTTCATGAAGCTATAAATAGCACAGATGCATCTTTGTGGATGACAACAATGCATGAAGAAATTGAAGCTCTCCATAAGAACTAGACTTGGATACTTGTGTCACTGCCACAAGGAAGAAAGACCATTGAAAATAAATGGGTCTATAAGATCAAACGAAATGGCGATGATCAAGTGGAACGATATCGTGCTAGATTAGTGGTAAAAGGATATGCTCAGAAAATAGGTATTGACTTTAATAAAATATTTTCTCCTATAGTTCGACTTTCAACAGTCCGAATAGTCTTGACTATGACCGCTATATTTGACTTACATCTAGAGCAGCTAGATGTGAAAACAACATTTTTCCATGGAGATCTTGAAGAAAAAATTTACATGCTCTAACTATAAGGTTTTGAAGAAAAAAGAAAAGAGAACTTGGTTTGCAGATTGAACAAATCTCTGTACGGTCTAAAGCAGGCACCAAGGTGTTGGTACAAGAGATTTGATATATTCATCATGAGCCTTGGATACAACAGACTTAATTCAGACCCTTGTGCATATTTCAAGAGCTTTGGTGAAAATAACTTTGTTGCATATTTCAAGAGCTTTGGTGAAAATAACTTTGTTATCTTATTGTTGTATGTTGATGATATGCTGGTTGTAGGCCCCAACAAAGATCGTATCAAAGAATTAAAGGCTCAGTTGGCTAGGGAATTTGAAATGAAGGATTTAGGATCTGCAAACAAGATTCTAGGGATGTAGATTTACCGAGACAGAGTTAATAGGAAGATTTGGCTTTCTCAGAAGAACTATTTGAAGAAAATCTTGCGGCATTTTAACATGCAAGATTATAAGTTAATTTCTACCACACTTCCTGTTAATTATAAGTTATCCTCCAGTATGAGTCCTAGCAGTGAAGAAGAGAGGATATAGATGTCTCGAGTACTGTATAAATCAACAGTGGGAAGCTTAATGTTCGCTATGATTTGTACAAGATCAGACATTGCACAAGCAGTGGGAGTGATTAGTTGATAAATGACGAATCCTGGTAAATAGCATTGGAATGCTGTAAAGAGGGTTCTAAGATACATTAAGGGAACCTCAAATATTACATTATATTATGGGGGATCTGATTTTATTGCCAATGGATATGTTGATTCTGATTATGCAGGTGATCGTGATAATAGTAAATCCACCACAGGCTATGTGTTTACACTTGCTGGCAGAGCTGTAAGCTAGATATCAAAACTACAGTCAGTTGTGGCTACTTCAACAACAGAAGTAGAATATGTAGCAGCTACACAAGCTAGTAAAGAGGCGATGTGGTTGAAGATGGTACTGGAGGAACTTGGGCATGAGCAAAAGAAGGTTTCTCTATTTTGTGACTGTAAGAGTGCTTTGCATTTAGTAAGAAATCCATCCTTTCATTCAAAGACAAAACACATTCGAGTTTAGTACTACTTCGTTCGTGAGAAAGTGGAAGAAGGAACAGTAGATATGCAGAAAATTCACAGCAAAGACAACCTAGCTCATTTTTTGACAAAAGCTATCAATACTGATAAATATATTTGGTGTTGATCCCCCTGTGGTCTGTCGGAGACGTAAGCAACATGAAGATGATAATATAGAAAGAATGGTGTGAAGATATGATTGATACTCAATCAAATCTTTAAGTAGGAGATTGTCAGCAGCTAATGCCGCATTTGTTGAAAATTAAAAAGGGTGGTGTGCCCCACCGTTAGGTACCGTCCCTTCACCGGCAATTAGGCAGAGTTTGAAAGTTTTGATTGCATAGTAAAATAATATTATTTTATTAATGTATAGTATTTTCCCAAACACTATAAATAGGCTCAAAACTCTTCAGGAAAAATGCATTACAGAAACAACTCCTCATATAGAAGAGAGAAAAATAGAGAGAGAGTTTCTCCTTGTAAAGAGAGATTGTAACTCTCAAGTTTTTCCTCATAGTGGATTTTTCTATCATTGCCCGAGGTTTTTACCCCAAATTTATTTAGGGGGTTTTCCACGTAAATCTGTGTGTTCCACTTTTTTATTACTTTCACTCTACTATTGTTGCGACCCTGTTCTATTGGGCACCGGGTTTGTCCCAACAATGCGAAGGAATTAAACTTGATGCAAGCTGGTTAATTTGTCCGTAGAAAATATGGATTGAGGAGGAACATGAAGTGGAAGATGAAAACGATTTTTAGGAAAGAAAGATTTCTCATCTTTTTATTTCAAACTATTAGGCAAATAATTAGCAAAAAAAAAAACTAATAGGCAATTATTATGGTACACCTTAATATACCATATTATCATAGTGAAGAAGCAGCGTAGAATTTGTAGTGTAGTTATCACTACTCTTTGGAAAAATTTATATCGATTTTCAGTTGATATCTTCATGTTATTTCCGATCAACTTATATCTGAGGTGAATCAACCAACATTGAATTCATTACTCCAAGCGTGCATGAAAGATTTCGCAATATCGGCATGAAAATGCGTCGAAGACTTGATTTCTCTCAATTTGCGTCGGTGAAAGGATGATGGACATATTTGGTTATCAATCTATAGCCTTTGACCTGATTTGTTATATATTTCTCTTTTCACCCGGTTAGTTCCTTGTAAAGCTTCACTTAAAAAAGAAATTTCTCTTGTCACTTTCTATAGACGGAAGAATTTCGACGGAGTAGGAACAAAAATGATATAACATATTCTCTGAGCATTAACAACTTAAATTAAGATTACATAACTTTTAAGAAAAGGAATTTATGGCATGCACCTCATTGCAGGAGCCAATTTAGATAAAGAGTGGGAGAAACCCAGAAAAATAAAGGGGACTTGACTAGTGTTATACATGTTGTGGGAAATTCCTTTTGATATATCTTTTATAAAAAATGATCTTAATTTTTAATACGACTATTTATTAAAGAAATCTCCCACAATTTTTTGTTGGTGTGATATTCCTCTCATTAGAACAAAGAGAAAAAAAAAAGCACAAAGAGCTATTGTGTCTACATAAATCCTAGAATCTAATTTAATAAGAAAATAAAGCTATGTGTTGATTCATAATGGAACCCGGAGTACAATTGTGAACCACATCTAGAAAATGTGCTTGCCTTACAACTGCTTCAAATTAGCTCTGTAGACAAATTTTTTACATGTGTGAAAATTATTTACTTGTTTTAAATTTTTTCTCTTTTTGTTAGAATAGTTTATCAATAAGAAAAAATAGATTATTTTATGGTAGGATGGGGAAAAAAAAGTTGAAGAATTTTTTTTTTGATAGTGTAATAGCACGAGAAAACAACCGCAATAGAGAGATGGGATAATGGTAAAGAGGACAGGACACAAGAAATTGGGTGATAACTATCTCAGAAAGGCCATGTCGATTTTCAACCTCTAAAATTTAAATGTGCAAATAATCACACAAGTTAGAGATCTCTAACTAATTTTATCAAGAGATATCTTGAGAAATTAAAACTTTTTCCCCGACTAATCTAAAGAACACTCCAACTCCATTCACAACGTCAAAAGGACACATTTTTTTAAACAAATTATTATTAAAATAAAACAAAACAAATATGTGCACATAGAAAGCCGAGCTTCGTGCCATAAAAGTTCACTCACTCCCCACTATCGTGAACTCCAAAGTAGGTTATGGAGGTTCACCTCTAAATGGTTCACCTCTAAATCTCTTGGTCCGCTTAATCCGCCGGCCATATTAAAGGGGAATAACCTCTGGCCTAATGAACCTACAAAAAGTTAAATTGAAAATTTTAAACATAGAATTGACAAACACACATTTAAGGCAATGAGCTAATTGCTAAGGGGCTGTTTGGTTCTTTGGGTTGTACTTTAATGCAAGATATGGATTTAGAGAAATCCATATATAAAATCCCAGTTCTTCAACATGATTTGGAAATCCAACATTCCCCTCAAGGTAAAAGTCCATCTTTGGATTATTTCTAAAAAGAAGCTGAATACTAGAGATAATTTGATCAAAAAAGGATGGAACGGTGATCCAAGCTGTCCTTTTTGTCATCGGGAAACAGAATCTCACGATCACTTATTTATACATTGCTCATTTGCTCACGATGTTTGGAACTACCTTCTCCCCCTATTCCTAGCAAACAGCTGGCCCACAA